GTCGATTTGGCGGAGCTTCTTCTGCTTCATGGCGGCTATTGCAAGGAGAATTTGCATTGAGGTATGTCGGCTGACTGGCGTGAAAGTCTCGGTGAAGTCTCGCCCGCGCTCTTGATCGAAGCCACATATGACCCATCGCGCTTTGAATTTGTCGATTGTCCCGTTAGCTTTCGTTTTCTCGCGGAAGACCCACTTTCCCGTGAGGACGGTTCTGTTGCGTGCCACTCTGATGGGTACTATCTTCTAGGTGTTTCTGTCTTCCAGCACTTTTAACTCCCTGTTCATGGCTTCTCGCCATTTTTCCTTGTGCTCCCCCCCCCAGAGCCTGCTGAACCGTAGCAGGCTCTCTCGGCATTGGTGCGCCATGGACTGCGGTGACGAGTCCAAGAATCTGCAGCCTACTCTGTGTGTAGCGAGGAAGATTTGGGTCCTCGGGATAAACTGCTTCGTCTCCCGCTTCTGGATCAGGTAAGAAGTTGGGGCTTATGCATTCTGAAACATTTGTGTTGACCGGCTGTGGTGTAACATAACCGTTGTCGGCGAAGTCATAGTAGACTTCGGCGTTGATGCTTTCGCGAGGATTTTCGTCGTCCATCAGAATGGGTACCAAACAGAAGGAAAGAGGTCCAGCTTCCTCCGATGCTCCGTCCACGTTTGTTCATCCCAGTCAGCCTCATCTGCTGGCGAGGCGAAGGTTCGGTTGCCACGGAAGCCGCCCTTGAGGTCTCGTTCTGCTGCCAAGTTGTCCAGGTACGTTTGGAGAGTGAGTCGTTCGTAGAAAATCACGTCACGTGCTGCTACTGTTTCCTTCGAGTGGACGTCGAAAATCTTCCACGCGTTGTAATATTTTTCGATGCCCAGGTGTAGTCCCCACTGTGTGCGTTGTGAGAATCGTCCAGCTCGTGTAGTGTGTGGTCGGTTCTGTACCATGCAGCCAAAAACTCGTAACATTTTTGTGTTGCCCAATTTTCCTGTCCACAGCAGATGCGGTGATGCGTTGTTCGGAAGCGAGGATGACGAAAGCAAGTTGTGCAACAGCACAGCATGGTCCATCGCCTCAGGCCACTGATGGTTGGGTGGCCGCATGCCACGTAGTAGCTTGCGCATGGTATTCTGGAGGGTCCTGTTCATTCTTTATGCCACGCATTTCTGCTGATGAGCGTAGGGAAGATAAATGAGTCGCTTGATGCCTTTCTCCACCAAGTATTGCTTGAATCGCTGTGACTGATATTCTCCTCCTCTATCTGACTGAAAGCCTTTCAGTTTCACTCCTGAGTCTCTTTCTGCTACGGGGAGCCAAGCGACGAATGCTTCGAAGGCCATGTCGCGACTCGAAGGTTGAGATGCCAGACGTATCTGGTGGCGGCGTCGATGAACGTGATTACGTAGTTGTATGCCCCTTGTCCGCTTTCGCGGGTGTACAGTATGTCGCTGTAGACCTTCTCCAGTGGTGCGTATGCTGGCGGGCTTGGTTTGTGGTGAGAGACGAACGGCTGATGGGGTAAGTCGGCTTCAGGGCAGGTAAAGCAGGTTCCGCGGACTCGTTGAAGTTCTTTGCCGTCGGGTAAAAGTAGTGAGTCTTTATCGAGAACTCCTGCTCTTATCGTGTTGTTCAGTGTCGTGTTGCTTGAATGTCCTAACCTTTGATGTCATAGTGATTCGTCGGCGCGATGTCCAGGTGAACGTCTGTACAGATTGGAGTTGGAGTAAGAACTTGCGGTGATGTTGGTGCTTCTGTGAGCTTCGCGTGGGGCGGGAGTCAGTTGTTGAGTGGGTGTCGGTGCTGATGAAGAGCTGGCGAGTGGTGTTGGTGCTGTTGTTGTTGCTTCTGCTTCTGTTGGTATTGCTGCTGTTGTCTCTGCTGCTGTTGTCTGTTGAATCACTGCTAACGCCCTTGTCAGAACACTAAGCACCTAGGAAACTAGGTGTAGGCTTAGGAGGCATAGGAGCCATGCTAGGGTTGAGTGTCGAGAGAGTTTGGGTGAGGAAAATCGAGAAGGAAGAAGTGTGCAATAATGAGAAACAGTACAAGGATATAGGCAAGAACCAAGAATGGTGCGCCCCCAACAGTTTATGATAGCTACACTAAACTACTGCTACAGGCAGTTACATATGTATATTCCAACACACCCCCATAACTGCTTGCAGCAGGAGTTTGTGCAGAGTAAAGCAGCAGTAGGCAAGAGCAGTGACAACCGGTGCAGTGGTGGCATATTCAGCTGCAACAACCCCTCAGCCAAGATAGAAGCAAGCAAAAGAATAAGGTGCATGTGGCGGCAGGTCCCCTGGAGAGCAGGTGCTTGTGGCGGCAGCGTGCGGCGGCACAGCAGGGCTCAACGGCAGCACCTGCCGCTCAACAGCAGCAGACAGCATAAGAGACAGCAGGTGGAGGCAGGGGCGGCAGTTGGAGGTGCCACAGTAGCAGCGGGCGGCAGCTGCAGATGCCTGGCTGGCTTCCGCCACCGCCTCACCCTCCCCCCCACAGTGGCATGCACGGCCACGAGAGAGAGAGGAGGAGAGGCGGCTGCTGGCTCGGCAGAATCTCTCTTGCCACCCCCTCACACCTCCAAGCTCCCCCCCCTTTTTCCCAACACAACAACAGGTGCAGTAGGGAGAGGGAGGAGGAGGTGATGGGCTCCTGGCTACTCACACCCGCCACCCTCATACCCTCCCCCACTGCTGCAAGCGCAGCAGGGGGGTGGAGGAGAAGAGGGGTGCGGGGGGGCTGGTGCTGCAGATCCCTCCCTGCCACCCCCTTAACCTCCAAGATCCCGCCACCTCCATACCCCCCCCCCCCCCCCCCCCCCCCACTGCTGCACCCGCAGCAGGGGGATGGAGGAGAAGGGGGGGGGGCTGGTGCTGCAGATCCCCTCCCCCCCACTGCTGCACCCGCAGCAGGGGGATGGAGGAGAAGGGGGGGGGCTGGTACTGCAGATCCCTTCCCGCCACCCCCATACACCCCCCCCCCCCCCCCCCCACTGCTGCACCCACAGCAGGGGGATGGAGGAGAAGGGGGGGCGGGGGGGGGGGGGCTGGTGCTGCAGATCCGCCAGGTACAGCAGCAGCTGCCGCCTTTTGAGACACCTCAAAGGGGGGGTACTGGGGTAAAGACATGGCAGGGTGCCTTGGGGCATGGGGCACTCACGAGGGGGTGCGAGGGGCACTCATGAGGGGGTGCGAGGGGCACTCACGAGGGGGTGCGAGGGGCACTCACGAGGGGGTGCGAGGGGCACTCACGAGGGGGTGCGAGGGGCACTCACGAGGGGGTGCGAGGGGCACTCACGAGGGGGTGCGAGGGGCACTCACGAGGGGGTGCGAGGGGCACTCACGAGGGGGTGCGAGGGGCACTCACGAGGGGGTGCGAGGGGCACTCACGAGGGGGTGCAAGGGGCACTCACGAGGGGGTGCGAGGGGCACTCACAAGGGGGTGCGAGGGGCACTCACGAGGGGGTGCGAGGGGCACTCACGAGGGGGTGCAAGGGGCACTCACGAGGGGGTGTGAGGGGCACTCACGAGGGGGGGTGCGAGGGGCACTCAGATACCCTCCTCCCACTGCTGCACCCGCAGCAGGGGGATGGAGGAGAAAGGGGGGGGGGGGGGGGGGGGGGCAGTGTAGAAGCTGCTCGGGCAACAGCAGTGCGCGCGACGGGCAGGAACCCGTCGTTCGCCACCCCCGCCACCCCCATACCCTCCCCCCCCCTGCTGTACGACCAGCAGTGGGACGGAGGAGAAGGGGGGGGGCGGGGGGGCGGTGCAGGGGCTACGTGGGCGACTGCAGGTCGCACGAAAAGCATCCGCCACCCCCTCACACCCTCTCCCCCACTCCCCCCACAGCAGCAGGCGCAGCCGTGAGAGGGGAGGAGGGGTGGCAGCAGCTGCTGCTGCTGAGGCACATCCGCCACCCCCTCACACCCTCTCCCCGCAGCAGCGGGCGCAGCCGTGAGAGAGGAGGAGGCGTGGCGGCAGCTGCTGCTGCTGAGGCACATCCGCCACCCCCTCACACCCTCTCCCCCCCTCCCCATGGGGGGGGGGGGGCGGGGTATGAGCTGCGCGTGCGACTGCAGGGCGTGCGGGCAGGAAGAAACCGTCGCGCGCTCGAGGCGTGCGACGGGCAGAAACCGACCCCCGCCCGGGGTGTGCGACGGGCAGGAACCGACGCGCATCAGGCAGGTGCGCGACGGGCAGGAACCGACGCGCAGCCGGGGTGCGCATCGGGCAGGAACTGATGCGCAGCCAGGTCGCGCATCGGGTAGAAACCGACGCGCAGCCAGGGCGCGTATCGGGCAGAAACCGACGCGCAGCAAGGGCGTGCATCGGGCAGAAAATCGACGCGCGCCCGGGGCGCACGACGGGCAGAAAACCGACGCACGCCCGGGGCACGCGACGGGCAGCAGGGTGACGCATTAGAAGCGCAGGGTGGGCCCAATGAGAATGTTCCTAGATCGAAACCCACTCTGATAGCATGTCAGAACCTTAAGCACCTAGGAAACTAGGTGTAGGCTTAGGAGGCATAGGAGCCATGCTAGGGTTGAGTGTCGAGAGAGTCTGGGTGAGGAAAATCGAGAAGGAAGAAGTGTGCAATAATGAGAAACAGTACAAGGATATAGGCAAGAACCAAGAATGGTGCGCCCCCAACAGTTTGTGATAGCTACACTAAACTACAGCTACAGGCAGTTACATATATATATTCCAACAGCCCTTGTCCGTTCTGCGTCAGGTATGGTGTGCAAGTACCAGAAACCTCCGGGGCTGAAGTCTGAGTCGAGATCTGGTGGGTGCGACCAAGTGGTGAAGTTGACGATCGCGTCGCTGTCACCAGTTCGTTGATCTGGGACGAAGTCGAGAACGAAGACGTTGTTCTTCAGGACTGCCTTCCCCGATGTAAAGTCCTCCCTTCCCGTTGTACAGCTTGAACTCCTGAGTGGTGCTGTCGGCTTCAAGGTGAATTCCTTTTGCCATGGAGAGGGAGCATCGTTTTCTTGGACTCTTCCTACTTTTCCATGTCCATCTCAAACCCCACCACCTGCGCAGGCTCCGCCGCCCCCTGCTGCGCCGCCCCCTGCTCCGCCATCCGTTGCTCTGCCACAGATGTCTCCCACAGCTTTCTTTTTTTCACCACACGCTTCCTCATTCCCCAACCCAGTTGCTCCCCCGCTCCTGGCTCTCCTTCTCACACTGTTTCCCTCCCTCCATCTCCTTCTCTGACATTGCCTCCTTCCGCTTCACCGCCTGCTTTCCCTTCGCCCTCTCTGCCTGCTTTCCCTTCGCCATCTCTGCCTGCCTTCCCTTCGCCCTCTCTGTCTGCCTTCCCTTCGCCCTCTCTGCCTGCCTTCCCTTCTCCCTCTCCGCTTGCTGTCCCTTTTCCCTCTTTGCCTGCTTTTCCTTCTCCCCCTCCGCCTGCTTTTCCTTTTCCCTCTCTGCCTGCTTTTCCTTTTCCCTCTCTGCCTGCTTTTCCTTTTCCCTCTCTGCCTGCTTTTCCTTTTCCGTCTCTGCCTGCTTTTCCTTTTCCGTCTCTGCCTGCTTTTCCTTTTCCCTCTCTGCCTGCTTTTCCTTTCCCGTCTCTGCCTACTTTTCCGTCACCCACGTGCCGCCCTTCGTACATGCTACCGCCGGCGGCGGTCCCACCAATGACTCCGTCTTCCTGGAAGACCCTCGGGGTCCCCTCATGCCACTATCCTCAAGCTCCTCGAGCCATCGGTTGTACTCTCTCAAAAATCCCTCTCTGAACTCCCTCCTGGCAATATCCATGTTCTCATCGAGCCTTCGGTCATGGTCTCTTTTGAAACCTTTCAAATCTGTTTCTCGGAGTCCCCTTCCGGCACTATTCACGATCTCCTCGAAACGTCGGTCGAAGACTCTTTTGATACGTTTCAATTCTGTCTCGTATTTCCTCACAGCAATATCAATGTCCTCCTCGAGAACTTGGTCGGCGTACCTTTTGAGACTTCTCAAAACTGCCTCTTGGAATTTCCTCACGTCAATATCCTCCCTCTCCTCGAGCTGTCGCCTTAGTGGCAAAAGACGCGTCCTACGTCTAAGACGAATGCGTCCAGACGCAGCGTCTTAGACGCGGGACGCATGATGTGGGACTTTGAGACGCAGGCCCGGGCAGGGCAAAAAAAACCCCAAGGCAGCCAAAAAAACACTTTATAGGGCATGGGAAGGGGGGGGGAGGACGACGTATCACACATGTGAGGCCAAAAGTTAGCTATGGAGCGAAAGGTAGCTAAACCCTTAAGGGTTTACGAAGGAGAATTGTGTGTGGGCTGTTTTTGATGGTCGAAATGGGTCTAGGGGGTCAAAATTTCAGGACATTGACATTCGCGTCGAAATCGCAAATGTCAACTTCGCGATCGGGAAAAAAAAATCCGGTCAGCCCGAAAAAAACTATGCCGTGCGTCCTGCGTCTGGACGTGCGTCCAGCGTCCCTGCGTCCGGACGCTGCGTCCAGACACAGGACGCATAACGCGCCCAGCGTCTTTTGCCACTTAGGCTGTCGCCACAGGTCGGCGTCTTCCCATGTCTGTTCCTGTCTGGCATGCATAAGGAGCCATTGGAACAGGCCCTTAAGCATCATGGAAACCTCGTAATCCCTTTCCCAACGCATCTCCTACCAAGCACGAACACAAGGCGCAAAATCATTCTAGCAGTGGTTCAGGGTCAAGCCAAAGTGCACGAGAGACGCGATTCGTGTGCTCCTCACCTGGTGCTCTAGGGTTAGCTGACGCAGGCGCTCGTGCACGTGGCACGAGAGCATCGCCGCGATGAGCATTGTCGCGCCCATCCACCCTCCGTTCCCATTCCTTTGCGGCCCACTGCTTGAAGAACCTGCGCATGGAACAAGGCCGTTTGAGCGCGGTCAGGCAGGGCCTGAGAGAAGCCAATCAGCAAATGCGACTAAGCCGGTCCTCCCCGCGGCCACCCCGTCGCTCTTCCCCTCCCCCCCTCCTTTCCACTCCTCCCCCAGACACCAAACAACGTCCCTGCCCCCTCCCCCATCCCTCCCCTCCCCTCTCCGCCCCACCTCCACTCCTCCCCGTATCGCAATGCACGGAACGTACTGGCAGGCCTTGGAAGCGACCGTGTGGAGGCCGGGATTCGGTGATGTAGCAAAGTGGATCATGCGTATCTTGCACGGACTGCCATCTTCCGCGATGAGGTCACCGGGGTCGGCGAGCAATACGATGCTAAAGTGCATAGCGGGAAATTCAGAAGGTGGCGCGACGCTGCATACAACACATACGATCAATTCGAACGGAGGGATCAGTACCATGGCATAGGCGGGAAACCGACACGTGCGTCGCGACTCGTCGTGCGGCTCACCTGAGAAACGGACTTGTCGAAGAGACTCATCGGCGGAGGATCCGCTAAGTCGAAGACAAGGGACAACTGTTGGATGAGCGCGCTGTCCAATATCGTGGTGCTTATACCACGGGTTTGTGCCCTCTCCGCGATCTCCCTGCGCGCGCGATGAGATGGTGTATCGGGGCGTCAGAGCGAGCAACATTTCCCAGGTAGGTCATAACATGGCCTAGAGGTGCGTTAAGGCTCACACGAGGGCGCGAAGGAAGAGGTAGAAATGGACTTCATTAACTGCGCCCATTCTTTCATGCGCGGTAAGAGGGCCCGTCGTCCCTCCGCCTCTGACGACAATGTCCGGAATTTCCGACAGCACTTTTCCGGACGCGCCGCCAGATCGGAAAAATTCGGAGGCTATGTTGTGCTAGTTTTGGGAAGTATATGTCAGAAGAATGAACGAGAATGAATGAACTATGAAAGAGTTGGGTACAAGTACTAACCCTAATTGGGTTGTACCCCTTATGGGCTACCCCACTATAGCCTACACAATGTAAGCAATATAACATTCTGACACACCCCAATAGGCAAAGTGGGGGAGAACAAGCGGTCACTAGACCAGTCAAGAAAAGCAAAGCAAGCTCACGGTGGATCACAAAGTCACCACACAGTCCGAGCACAAGCAAAGGGCCACAAGGCCAGTTCAAATACAGTGTTATATAAAGAGCACAAAACAGTACAGTGATCATAGCCTAGCAAGAGCAAGCATGCAGGTATATATATAGATCACAGTACAAGCAAAGTCACGCAGTGAGCAAGTAAGGCAAAGTAGGCACAAGGCCTAACACAGTAGAGAAGCGCTGATGATCACCAGACTGAAGTGCCTTGGTGAATATATCAGCAGTGTTGGCCCTAGTGGCCACGTACGCAAGGCGAAGCTGGCCACGCTGCTGCAACTCTCGAGCAAGGAAGTATCGCAGAGCGATGTGCTTCGTTCTGTGCTCTAGTCTGTGCTCCTGACACAAGGCAATCATGGCCTTGTTGTCTACGTACAGAACTGGAGGCGAACGAGGCTGCTCTCCCAAGTCAGTCAGCAGGTAGGTGAGCCAGCGTAGCTCCTGTGCAGCCATGGCCCCTGCGTAGATCTCAGCCTCACAACTAGAGCTGAAAACCGAAGACGAGCGGGTAGACCGCCAAGAAACAGAGCCGGAACCGAGGCTGAAGGTGTAACCCTGTGACGACCGCTGCGTAGCTTAATCGTCAACCCAAGAAGCGTCTGCGTGGCCGGTGAGGACAACTGGACCCCGTCCTCCAAGCACGAGCCCCATGCCCGACGTACTGCACAAGTAACGCAGTACCCTCTTCGCAACATCCCAGTGCACCTTTCGGTGCCTACCGGGAGCCACGTAGCGAGCCAGGAGGCTGAGAGGGTACGCGAGGTCACGTCGTGTGCACGTCATCAGGTACATGAGGCAACCCACAAGCTCTGGGTACGGACCACTAGGCTCTACGGACTCGTCCGAAGGTGGAGCTGAGAGCGAGTGGCCGGTAGATAGAGGAGTGGGCTGTGGCGAGGAGAACTGGAAGCCGAAGCGCTGAAGGACCTGGTGCACCATGTGTGACTGAGTCAGGGTGATGGTGCGCCGTGCTCTGTTCCGGGTGATCTGCAAGCCAAGATAGCTGCGCAGTTCACCCAGGTCAGTGCAAGTGTGTCTCTTCTGCAGCTTCGACTTCACAACGATCAGTGCCTCAGTGTCAGTAGTGGCAAAGACCAGGTCGTCGACGTACACGAGGACGTAGAATGGCGGCAGCGACGTGTCGGTGCGTAGAAACAGCGACGGGTCAGCAGTAGAGGGAGTAAACCCCAAAGCCGCAAGTGTAGTCCTGAGTGTGTCGTGCCACTCGTAAGGCGCTTGGCAGAGACCGTAGACTGGCCGCCGGAGGCTCCACTGAGTACCTGCAGGAAACGACCCAGTGAAGCCAGGTGGGCGGCGCAGCCAGATCTCCTCGTGCAGGCTGCTCTGCAAGAAAGCTGTACTGAAGTCCAGAGAGTGCAACTCGTAGTCACGCAGAGCAGCGACGTGCAACAACACCCGAAGAGTAGTCATCTTCGGGGTGGGGGAGAAGGTCTGGAAGTAGTCAACCCCCTGTTGCTGACTGAAGCCTCTAGCAACGTAACGCGCCTTGAAGGCAGGCGGAGAACCCGGCGGCCACTCCACCCTGAAAATCCACATGCCATCGGCTATGTTCACCCGAGACGGGGGAACTGCGTCGACGTAAGTGCCTATGGACTTCCAGGATGCCATCTCGGCATCCATGGCTGCCTGCCACTGAGAGGAGTAAGGACCCGTAATCGCCTCTGCGTAAGAGTGCGGGGTCGGGATGTCTGGTGCATCCGGGTCTCCCTCAGGGGCAAGCAGTATGGAAGCGAAACGAGGTACAGCAGCTGCAAGACACTAAAAGTCCTCCTGCCTGTCCTCAAGGACGTCCGTGCTAAGAGCACACTCACCCCCGACGGACAGAGGATTGGCAGACTCAGACTCAGCAACCAGAGCAGTGGCGTAGTCTAGACGACAGGCAGCAGTAAAGTCAACTAGCTCAGCAACGAGGGCAGACGCAGCAGTGGACTCAAAAGAAGGGTCAGTGACAATTGCGGCGAGGAGACGAGAGATAGTGGGACTGGCACCACGAGCCCGATCAGACTCAGGGTTAGGGATGGCAGGAAGAGAGGACTCAGGAGGAGGCGGCAGAGGAACATGCAGTGGAACAGAGGAAGGACGACGTGCCATAGCGTGGGTGCTGGGGACAGGAGGAGGACGCGGACGAGGAACGATACGACCAGTGCAAACAGGCGAGGCAAGGCGAGACGCAGGCTCATGATGCTCTGTAAGACCGCCGGTCTCCTCAATGTAAGGAGAAGGAGCAGGTAGTGGGGAGGCTGGCTGTAACAGCGGCTGCGAATGGTCAGGCGATGGACACAGCAAGGGAGGAGTAAGGCCAGTAGAAGACAGGACACCAAGAACCTGCTAAAGCAGGGGAACAAAGTACGATTGCGACCGCACAGTGCCTCCAGCACCAGTACTACCAGAGACAGCACCCCCAGCTCCAGCACCTCCAGCTCCAGGGTCAACAGCTCCAGCTCCTTCAGCTCCAGCGCCTCCTGCGCTAGTGCCTCCAGCTCCTCTAGCTCCAGCGGCACCAGCGCCAGTGCCTCCAGCGCCAGCGCCTCCAGCCCCAGCGGCTCCAGGCTCCGTAGGGTCTCCAGGTCCAGCGCCCCCAACACTACCAGTCCCGGCAGCTCCAGTACCCCTGGTATGAGCACCTCTAGGACCGGCAGCTGCAGCACCTCTGGTACCACCAGCTCCAGCAGTACCTCCAGCACCTCCAAGACCAGTAACTCCAACACCTCCAGCTCAGGGTCTCCAGCGACAGAGTCTCCAGCTCCAGCAGCTCCACTACGAAGGCGGGTGCGCTGAGTAAACCACTCGCACAGTTGATGAGGGGAGAGAGGCTCCGGCCGGGGAGACCGCCGTGGCGAAGCACCCACAGCTCCAGCACCACCAGCGACAGTGCCTCCAGCTCCAACTTCAACAGCTCCAGTGTCTCCAGCTCCAGCTCCTCCAGCCCCAGCAGCTTCAGGCTCCGTAGGGTCTCTAGCTCCAGCGCCCCCAACACTACCAGTCCCGGCAGCTCCAGTACCCTTGGTACGAGCACCTCCAGGACCTGCAGCTGCAGCACCTCCGATACCACCAGCTCCAGTAGTAACTCCAGCACCTCCAGCTCTAGTGTCTCCAACGTCAGAGTCTCCAGCTCTGGCAGCTCCACTCCGAAGGCGTGTGCGCTGAGTAAACCACTCGCACAGCTGCTCTGGGGAGAGAGGCTCCTACCGGGGAGACAGTCGTGACGAAGCACCCGCAGGACCTCCAGAAGAAGCAGTACCCAGAGGCTCGGCACCCCCAGACTCTGCACCCTCAGACTCAGCATCCCCAGGCTCCACACCCTCAGGCTCAGCACCCCCAGACTCCACACGCGCACGCTCAGCACCCCCAGGCTCCACACCCCCAGGCTCAGCACCCCCGGACGCAGCACCCCCAGACGCAGCACCTCGAGCAGCACCTGAGTCCACAGCTACCTCAACAGGCACAGTACCAGGGAGAGGGTCTACCTGAGACACACCTGAGGGAGCAGGACCCAAGGGGGGGGAGGGGTCTACCGGAGGGGGACCTGGAGTAAGGAAGAGCGGCGGGGGAGGGGGAGGGGCAGAGCGGTAGGGAAAGAGACGGTAAAAGGGAACCGACTCGTCAAACGTGATGTCCTGAAAGGGAAAGACACGGCGCAAGGTGGGGTGGTAAAACTGCCAGCCAGGCGCGTTAGGGGGAAAGCCAAGGAAGTCGCAGGGAATAGCGCGGGCGGAGAGCTTGTCCGCGGACGTATCGCAAACAAAGGCACGAGAGCCCCAGACCCAGAACACCGACGCATCGCCAACCTTCCCCGTCCAACGCATTGTCGGCGAGGTGTCCGGCAAGGAGACACGAGGCCAGAGGTTGAGCTGATGCGCAGCGTACCGAACCGCAAACGACCACAGAAAATGGGGAGCAGCCGCATGGATCATGGAGGTACGAGCGACCTCCATGACTAAGCCAATGCGGCGCTCAGCAATCTCATTATGCTGAGGGGAGTCCGGAAGCGTGAACGACTAGAGAATGCCCTCCCCACGAAAAAAGTCCCGCAAGAGGTCGGAGGAGAACTCACCACCTCTGTCAGAGTGCAAACGCAGGACAGGAAGGTCCTGGCGGAGCCGCTCGCGAAGCTGG